AGGAACTGTTACCCAATCAATCACCGATGTTGGCATTTTTCTCTTGACCACCCGCAAGAATGTTTGCAAAAAATCGTAGGATTCTTCCCAATTTCCATGCAACTTCTCCAATGCTCTTTGTTTCCCATACCAAGCCTTCTTGTAAGTAACTTGCATATTAAACTTATCTTTCAACTCGGCTTGAACAGTTAGAACACTCAGATTTGGTTGGGCACGTACCAAATGTTTGACGGCCTCAGATATCATGTCGACATCAAGATGGCGATGATCCGTCGGTTGAGTCGTACTGCTACAAGAATGCACCAACTCAGCTTTTCTCACAGTCCATTCGCCCCCAACATCTCGACATCCAAACCGCACCATCCAAGGACAATTGTCATCCTTGTGCCTCAAACATCTGACCTTCCATATTGAAGGTGACGACTCCACCACGCCATATAGAAAGTTGCGTTGTAGTGCGTGGTGTTTAATCGCCATCTGTGCAGCTTGTTTCGAGTGAAATATCTGCCCCTTGTAGAATTCTCCTTCAAAACTATCAACAATAGGCATTGGAATTACGCCATATGAATCAGCAAGTGCAAATTCTTCGTCATCTTCATTGCCCTGCAAGTAAAAATATGGAGGATAATTAAGTTGCTCTCCTTCCTCCTCCTCCTCCTCCTCCTCCTCCTCCTCCTCCTCATCTTCCTCCTCTCCGTCATCACCGTGATCATAGTCATGATCGGATGGCACGCTCCATGTATCATCTTCTTCCTCTCCACCCTGATCATCACTGAGCTCAACATGTATCTCAGCACCCAAACAATAAGGATTTTGTGCCATAAAATTCCAAAGCACATCCAAGCTATCATCATCCACAATAGGTAACGCATAATGAAATAAAACATCATTCTGCCATTCTGGAAGACGGTAAGTGAAACCTGTGATCACATCACTATCTTTTACTGCTTCGTCTCTGCGCCGTATTCTCGGAATTAGAGTCTCACAAAGTTTGTGATATGTGACTCTGGATGGAACCGTCAACTGAAAACTACTACCACCAACGAATTTGACACCCAAATTATCCTCTACTTTCTCCGATTTCCACCGAACAACTAGTTCAAATCTTCTAAAATCACTACAAAAAAACAAACTCACTAATTAAAAACTAAACACAATCATAATAGCATTTGAATAATATAATTACAAAAATAAATGTGTCTCTTACCTAGCCATTTTTGCAGCAGCAACCAGAGCTCTCTCCTCTATTTTGGACGATTTTTTTTGTGGTGTGAATCTGAAACGAAAAGTCTGTCTGGGTTTTATAGGGTGGGTGGCCAATCCACCTACTCGCCTCAGTCTCGGGCGCCACCGCCGGAGTCTTAATTTCCCACCTACTCGCTTCAGTCTCGGGCGCCGCCGCCTGAGACTCGAGCGCCACCGCCTGAGTCTAATAAAACAGTCCAAAAACCAAGTCTTAAGCGGCGGCGCCTGAGTCTCAGGTGTACCCGCCGATTCTGATGTATAAAACACAATATCTTTGTCAATAGTTATTAATTGGCCATATTCGTGGTAAATTTAAAAAAAAAACAATATTTATGTCATTTTCCCTTTGGTTTTTTGGCCGATTGCTGAATGGTGAATTTGGAGAGGTGTCGCTGTCCTTTTATCTTGGACGGTTGGCCGGGGTCCCAGCTGGTTTGTGAAAAGTTCTTTTTTTTTTTAATAAGGTTTGTGAAAAGTTCTATGCCAACATTCAAATATAAAAAATATTTTTATTTATACGAAAAATAAAATACAATATTTTTATGAGTTAAATAAATGGAACTTTTGCAGACCGACCAACCAGAGGTCGCGTGCATAGATGTGTTCAGGAGGGAGATTGAAATATCAATTTATTTTTCTCCTTTTTTTATTAATATTATTATTCCCGTTTTTTGTTTTCTTACCAAACCTTAAACATTTAAAACTATTAATTTGTGTGTCAATTTTAAAATTTTCACTTTTCTAAATAATAATATTTTTAGAACCAGCACTTTTAAGGAGCTAAAAAGAACACTAAGACCAGCACTTCACATTGTCGCCGTGTCCCATTGTTTTCTCCTAATCAATATTTTCATTTTCGATTTGGTTGGGTTTTTTTAATCTAAAAACACTTAATTTTTTTGGAAAAGGTTCTATACTACTGCATTTGAGCTTTATATGACAGTCCTCCTGGGTAGTGTGAGAGAACAATAACGAGAGTAATTATAAGCATATGCGATAGTAGTAAATAACTAAATACGTAGATTTTTTTTACTTGATTGCAGTTAAAATTTCGTAATTATTATTGTGATGGAAAGTTAATTCTGTTGGAGAATGGTAGCGTTTTGTGACACAACTGTCATGTCAATTTGGTTGATCAGACAGTTATGATACTCGAGGTTATTTTAACTTCAACAAAAAAAAATTCAAGATAAATAAATTATTAAAAATATCACACTATTGTAGATACAAATAATGCAAACTTCTAAAGCAAAGATTGTCCTCACTATATACCATTCCTGACTTGAACATACATGCTTCACTTTTTTTTTTAACATATCCTAATTCCGATTACTTGGTCCACGAAAAATAATTCATTTAGCTCCCAAAAGGACAAACAAATAATTCTTGCTCCAAGGTACTTGCGGTAGCTAGTAGTACCATATATTTGCCAGTGCCAGAAATCTGAATGAGATGGTTAAAATATTTACGCTTGACGAATTTGAAAGATTGTTATTGGGGAGGGGGCCAGAGCATTACCAAGTAGCATATTTTCCAATCTTGTTATAAATTTTACATATAAATTTATCTTCATTTGAAAGTTTAAGGGGCTATAGCCCCTCCTAGACACAACATGGCTCTGCCACTGATCCCGACAGTGAAGATTCGATTTCTATCTGCGCAAATAAAACTCATTTTGTGACCAACCATTTACCGCTTTATGCGATCACCCCCATAGTGACAGGTTAGTCATATAATTTCTATAGATTAACACACATAATGATTCCTCATTAGAATACAAAGGACAAATGATTATCTCTTCTAGCTTTCTGTTTCCTGCACTGCAAATTTGAACAGAGGGGCGTGAGAGGCAGTTTGGCCCGTTTGTTCCCTTCAACAGGGGTGCACAAGGGACATGTTATGTAGGAGCCATCTAGAATGAGCCCTAATTCCTTCAAATATAATTACTTATTTAAATCTATGCCCTAGAACTGGACTAATCGCCATAATCATTACTCTGATTATGTATACCACGCGGGTCAACACTCTACAATATTAATTACTTGCTGCTGCTGTTCCGGTGCCTGGGAATTGATTTCGATTTATATTTAATTACTGCACTTTTCCATTAATGTTAAACATTGCACTCCTTCACCGCATGATAATATTCAACACTAATTATTAGCTTAGGAAATATATAATAGTGATATATGAAATGTGACACCTTCTGCACAGAGAGTGACAAGGAATCCTTTTTGTCATTATTATGGATCCATTGAATGCCACCTAGAGAGAATAATGTTTGTTGCCACACAACAATAGAGAAGAAAAGTAATACTTTTCGATTAGACCATGGGAGAAATTTGGTCCAATATGGCTCTGACAAGAGGCAGCAAAGCAAAGACGACTGTTAAACACCTTAAACTAGAAAAATGAAGAGGTAGGACTCCTATTCGAAGTATTGCGTAAGGTATTAGATGGTGAAAATCTGGAGTATAAGAGCTCTGTTAACGAGAGGCAGATTGCAGAAAAAATCTCAAAATACACTTATTTTTACAAAAAAATTTCAAAATTCACTTGTTTTATGAAAAAATCACAAAATATACAAGTTTGGGCATTATTATGGTCGTCAAGCGGTGAATGCATCACCGCGGTTGACGGCCGCGGTGAATGCCTGACCTAACACTGAAACTTCAAACGAACGTAACTTTGCGCTCGGTTATCCGATTTTAGCGAAATATTTTTTGATTCCGCATAACTTTTTAAGATCTTTCAATCCGCAAAGATTTCATCCCAAAAAAATGTTGTTTGCTACCCCGAACGAGCAATTTTTCGAATTTGAAAAACTTTGGAAGGCCATTACTTTGTGCTCTGCAATTCGAATATCATGAAACTTTTTCGGATTTCACATAAATTTTTAAGAACTATAACTTTGATCAAAAAAGGTTTCATGATATTCGGATTGCGGAGCACAAAGTTATGGCCTTCCAAAGTTTGTCGAAATCGAAAAATTGCTCGTTCAGGATAGCAAACAATTTTTTTTTGGGATGAAGTCTTGTTGCAGATAGAAAGATCTTGAAAAGTTATGCGGAATCAAAAAATTTTCCGCTAAAATCGGATAACCGAGCGCAAAGTTACATTCGTTTGAAGTTTCAGTGTTAGGCAAGACATTCGCCGCTTTCGTCTTCCGCGGTGAATGCATTCACTGTAGTTGACGACCGCAGTGATGTCCAAACATGTGTATTTTGGGATTTTTCATAAAACTTGTGTATTTTCGAAATTATTTTTAAAAATATGTGTATTTTGGGATTTTGCTCGCAGTTTGCTTGCTTATAAACTACAGTCTCCACAGATATTCAATAGTGTCCATTCGGGGACATCCGATAAGACTAGAATGATATTCGATTGTTAGATTCACTTTGAAATTCAAGAGCTCCAGTCAATTCCGTCTAATAAATATATGTTATCAATCAATTCTATAGTATCAGATATAAAAGCGAGAATTTTTTTATAAGGGTGAAATAGTATTAAACAGACCAAAGCAAACAATGTCTCGGAAAAGAGGGGAACAGACGAAAGCAAAACAAAGGCCACCGAACCAGGACAACACAACGGAGGAAAAGGAGAAAACCGAAACAGAAACAGAAAAGTGAAATAGAAACAACTCCGAGTCTCCAAAATAGGGGAGAAGGAGCACAAACAGAGAAACAGGAGGGAAGCTAATACGAGGCAGTCGGGCCGCAACCGAACGCCCAAAGAGCAAGCCAGAGCAGGGTCTAATTCTCAATGGGATCCGGCCTAGGGAGAAGGCGAGACTTGACAATGTGCATCCACGCATCAGCAATGCTCCTCCCGACCTTGTTACCAGCGCACAACCAGTCAGCTATGAGGCGAGCAATCTTGAAGGAGACCATGAGGGAAGAGGCATAATCGTCGTGGAAAATTCTTGAGTTACGCTCCAGCCAAATACGCCAGAAGAAAGCATGGACAAAAACTCTGTTACACCCAGCATTGGGGCTTTGAGAAGAGCCGATGGGCCATCCATTGATCATGGAAGTGGTGTTCTGCGGAGGCGATCTGATATCAATGAAGGCGCTCAGCATACGCCAGACCTCCCGACTAAATGAGCAGGAGATGAAAAGATGATCCAGAGTTTCTTCGAAGCATTCACACAAGGAACACCGGCCGGGGAAGGACCAACCCCTCCTCTTCAGGACGTCATGAGTAAGGATCCTTCGGTAGTAGACAATCCAAAGGAAAACACACACCTTGGGAGGGACGACTGCTTGCCAGATGAACTTGAAAGGGAAGTCCCAATTGGCATAACTACTCTCCTTCACCAGATCAGCATAAGCAGATTGAGTAGTAAAGCCATCATCCGGAGCAATGTTCCAAACAATCCTAGAGGGACCTGCAGTGAAACTAGAAATATTAAAATAATTATGCAGATTAAGAAGATTAGATCTCTCAATCCCCGCCCCTCCTCTAAGGGTAAAACAGGAGGAAATATCTCAAGAAGAGCTTCCCTCATCGGCTCTCCAAAGGTCAACGATACGAGCGTCCGGAGCAGTGGCGGCAGCAACAACCCGAGGGAACTCCACGGCGAGAGGATGGGAGCGATCCTTGACCCAAACATCAAACAAGAAGGACGTGTCATCCCCCAACCCCGGATCCACATAAGCAAGACTCCAGAACTCATTACGCAGTCTCGAAATCACGGCCCACAGACTGCAACCCAGACTACCACAAATGACGCCAGAGGACCACTCCGAGTGAGGGTTCGGGAACTTAAACTTAATCAACTCTCTCCACCAAGAGCTCCTTTCCACAACAAAACTCCAGCACCATTTTAAAAGAAGAGCCTGGTTTCATACTTTCAGATCTGGTAATGCCAAGGCCACCCAAGTTCCTCGGCAGTTTGCACCTATCCCACACCACAAGGTGCAGATTTCTGTCCTCCCCAGTTCCTGACCAAATGAACTCTCGAAGGATTTTATCAAGTTTTTTCAACACAGCAGCGCGCGCTCTGAACAAACTGAGCATGTAATTGACTTGGGCAGCAAGCACGGAGATGCATAAGGTTACCCTTCCGCCGAGAGACAGATTTTCCCATCCAGCCGGCCAGCCTACCCTCCACCTTGTCAATGACTTTGTTCCATATGACATTAGAATTGGCGTGAGCCCCAAGAGGTAGGCCAAGGTACTCAGTGTGCGGGAACTTCCACTCGCAGCCCAGAATCTCCGCCAAGCGATCCATAATAGCAACATCACCGACAGGGAAAAGAAAGCTTTTCCGGAAGTTAACCTTAAGACCCGTAATGGTTTGGAACCAAACCAAAGCAGCAGCAAGGTTATAAATAGCTTCCTCCGTTGTGTCACAAAATATAATGGCGTCATCAGCATAAAGGAGGTGACTAACACCGTCCATTCTATTAGAATCATCCATGAAAAAACCCTCAATAAGACCAAAATCGTGAGTACTCTGAAGAATGTACGAGAACAGATCCATGACGAGACTGAAAAGGAAGGGGGAGAGGGAGTCTCCCTGTTTCAAACCTCTCTGCATATGAAAGAAACCGCCTGCTTCACCATTAACAAGTATCGACAGCTTAGAACGACCCACGGTACCCTTTAACCACTTGCATAACCAATGACAAAGGCCCATGTTCTTCAAAAGTTAAAAAGAAAAATCTAGTTGACGGAGTCAAACGCCTTTTCGATGTCCAATTTGAAGATGACTCCCGGGCGACCACTTCTTAGTCTGCTATCAACCAGCTCGTTGGCGACAAGGGCAGCTTCGTGAATCTGTCTGTGCCTCAGGCCCGCGAACTGATGGCGGGAAATAAGCCGGTTCATGAGGGGTTGCAGACGCAGGAAAAGAAGTTTGGAGAGGATTTTGTTCAGACTACCAACGAGACTGATGGGACGGAAGTCGGCAACTTCTTCTGCAACAGTCTTTTTGGTAACAAGGCAGATGAAGGAGTGCGCCACTGAATCCGGAATGTAGCCAGTCAGGAAAAACTCATCAGCAGCCTTTAAGATGTCGTGCTTAACCACGCTCCACGCTTTCTGGAAGAAACGCAGGGTGAACCCGTCAGGGCCAGGCGCTTTGTCCCCCCCACAGGAACACACGGCTTGCCAAATTTCTGCTTCTTGAAAAGGAAGAGTGATAAGATGGTTCTCTTTGAAGCTAATGAGATTGTGTTCAAAATCAGTAGGGAATGGTCTAAATTGGACATCCTTGGAGAATCTGGATTGAAAATGATGGACGTAGACATGCTTAATAGCTTCACTATCGGTGATGACCTCGTTAGCCACTTTCAAGAGCTGGATGGTGTTTCTCCTGCGATTAAAGTTAGCCATGCGATGGAAAAAACCTGAATTCGTGTCCCCAACCTTAATCCACAGCTCCCTGGATTTCTGACGGCAGGAGATTTCCTCCATAAGAAGGATTTTATCAAGTTCACACTTCCACAAGCTTCTGGCAATGATCTGAGACTCCAAGATGGGCCCAGCTTCCTCCAACATGTCAATCATGCTAATTTTATTGATTAAAGTCTCAATTTTAAGTTGAACTCTACTGAAGACATCCACATTCCAAGATTTGATGAGCTGCTTACTCTGCTTAAGACATTGACTAGCGCGAAACAGAAGCCCCCAGCCCGAAACAGGGACATTCCACCACCCAACAAGACCCTACATGAACGATGCTTCAAGGAGCCACATGTTTTCGAACCGCCACGGTCTGCGAACACGATCATCCATTCCCCAATGAACCCGGATGGGATTATGATCAGACTCGACCCTTTCAAAGGCAAGCAAAGGTCTTGGCGAGAAGGAATCTTCGAAGCATGTATTTATTAATGCGCGGTCAATGCGAGACAGGCTCGGGTTGTTGCCGCCACTGCTTCTAGTAAAGGCAGCACCCTGCAACGGAAGATCGATGAGGCCATTAGGGTTCACCATGGAGTTGAACTCCGCCATCATCTCTCTACATCTCGGAGCACCCCTGAAATCCTCCTCTGATCTGACCATGTTGAAGTCCCCCATAAAATAAATAGGTCGGATCCACATAGTGGCGGCAAATGAAATCAATCTCAGATAAAAAAGCCAGCTTAGCATTTCTCTCATGAGGCCCATAAACAAAGACAATGGAGATGACCTTAAGGGATCGAACGATCCGAAGACGAATAGCCAGCGAGAAACGGCCTTCCCAAAACTCTAACAGAAAAATTTCGAGGGATCCCAAAAAGCAGCAATACCTCCCCTATTATCAATCGCATTCTTGGCCGCCCACGAGCTAGACCTGCCACCGCTGATCGACGAAATTAAAAGCTGGGAACACTCATTCCACTTAGCTCAATCACCCCAACCACCGCTGCATGGCAACGACGTATCATAGACTTCACTCTCGCACGCTTGTTAGACTCGCCAAGACCCCTAACATTCCACGCAAGGACCGAGTTATTCATTGGGGGGGAGGGAAAGAGGAAACTCTTCTAGCGCGATCACCCAGACCGCATCTTCTCCTCGTTGTGGGAACAACAGTATTTTGATGACCAAGACGATGAATTTCCATCTGTAATTTTCACCTAGGGGCACTTCTCTTCTTAGATTTACGGGAGGAAGCCACACCTTCGAAGAGTTCATCAGCTTTCTCGCTAGAGACTTCTGGAGCAAAATTCAAAATCTGGTGAAAATTACTTTCCCTGCAGCCATAATCTTTCCAGATATAGACCCGCGTGCCAATCTTGCAGATAAAATTCGTCAATAGGTTGGAAAAGCACAATGGCAAGCGAATTCGAAACTGAGGAATCCGCCCTACTCGCATCGGAGGCAAACGAGCTTTCTGAGGAGGAAAAGGGGGTGGGGGAGGCTAAACACGGGGAGGAGGGAGGGGGGGGGAGGGGAGGATAGAGTAGGGTCATCCAGAGAGAAAGAAGTCGAAAAGGTGGAGGTTGCATCTGGGATTGAGGTCAAGTCACGAAATTGCAGAAGGAAAGAGAACGATTTTGAAAGGCTAGGGTGGTGTTAGGGAGGTATGGTCAAGGAGGCGCTGAGTAGATTAATCAGATCAGACCAGGAAATAGAATCGGGCGATAGGAAAATGAAGGAGGTTGGGAGGGATCTAGACAGAGGGAATCTCAAGAAGGTGAGCCAAAAAAGACGAGGGAGTGGATCAGAGGGGAGAAGGGGTTGGGCTAGGGGAACAAGGGCAGTGGGGGCAGGGAGGATTGGGCTAAGGGGAGCAGAGGGTTCGAATGAGGGGGGGGGGATGAACAAGATGTGGGCCTCAGATGAGGGGGTAGCCATACTAGGCCAGCTTTGCGGACCCAAATTTGCTTCGGGCGAGCCTGGAAGGGAGAGAGGGCCCGGTTGGAGTGCTTACCACGAGATCCCCTTTGCCAGTGGGAGGTGGCAATGGTGGGCCCCATGCCATAATCGCCACTTAGGCAGCCCGAGGCGCATGCACTAGGGATTTGGGAATCCCCCTCGAACATGGCACTGCATGGAAGGCCAAGGGACGTAGTCGGTGGTGCGATGATTTGAATTCTAAACTACTGATTGCCGAAACAGAGAGGGATTTCGCCGGGAAGGACCGTCGAGCTCCGCACTCTAATCCTGACGAAGGGGAGAAACCAAGACTCCCAGTCTATATCAACAAAGGATCCACAAAAGTTTCCGATGGCCTCCAAAAGATCCACACTTTTCAAATGCAGCAGGATGTTAAGGACTAGGATCCAAGACTCATCTGACAAAGGCAGGGCCTCGTTTTCTTTCCAACAAGAGACTGAGATGGAGAAGTTCAACAATTCCGATAGTTGAGCCTTGTGATACGCAGAGCTTCTTGGATCGACGAACAAATCAAGAACCACCTTCCATCAGAACAATCTTCCAGATAATAATCCTAATCAACAGCCCAGAACCTATTCGCCCACCACCGGAACTGTGGGACAAAGTTTCCAGTGAAACTCATTGGAAGAAGAGGAGAAGGACAAGACAAGGCACTTCCCCAGGAGGTCGCGCCGCTCTTTAACTCCATCCAGCTCCACACCAATGTATCTATCCTTCTCGCTACCAAGAATGGAGCATTTTCCAGCGCCGTAGAACCCACCTGACCTCACAATGTCAGCGTAGCTTCTGGAACCATACTGCAATGGTAGTGGGGAGATCTCGTGAGGGGTTTACCAGCGAAGGAACTGACGCGTAGTTGAAGATCGGCAACGTAGAACTCCTGTAGATAACGAATCAGTCTCGCCCATCCAAAGCAGTTACTCGCAGCAGGGATGATGACTCTAAATATCCGCCCTGTCTTTGAGAGCTCAGAGACTTGAAGGAATTGGCTACGACGGTTCAGGATCCTGCCAATATGGATAGAGCGATCCCCACTTTTCAGGACACACTTCGCTGGGAATATCCAGTCCCTCCTCGATGCAGTTTGAAGGACCCCCTGCAACCATGAGGCCTGGGAATCATCCAAGAAAACGAACAATCTCCTGCCTTTCTCCTCAACCTGAAGCCCAATAAACCCTGATCTGGAGTTGCTGATCGAGACAAGCTTCGACCCCATCTGAACTCACCGTCTGATGAGACTCTTGGAGCCGCCGCCACAACAGGACCTCACATCACCTGACCTGCAAAACAAGGAAACATCGCACACCCCACCCAAACAACTCTCACGCTCTCTCTAGCTTTCTCTCTCATTATTCCAATTATATGTCATACAAAAGCGAGATTTTCTTGTGGCTTATTTCATATATGGTGGGGATTTGTAGATCTTAGAGTCATTCCGGGAGACAGTCAATTATTAGAATTATTAAACCTTAAGTTTGCTTACTATTGCATACGATAAAAAAGGGGTTGCTTTTTTTAATCCCGGATTAATGTTCATTAAAACTAATTTTCAAATTCCCTGCGGTCGAGTGTACTTCACCGCATGTAAACGAATGGCGACTGACCGAGCATATCGATCTTTGCTCATCTTTGTCTGGCTGGTGATTGGCGAAGCAACAAAAATACTCATCTTTCATTGTTCCTTCTTGTCGTTCGTCCTCTTTTCCAATCATTAAATAACCATATTACGTAAATATTCGGTAGTATTTTTTGTAAACTATTAACTAAACTATTCACCATCTCATCAATTTGCAGTACACAAAGGTTTTAGAACGTCAATCATCTCTTACATAAAAATTTAATAAAATATAATACTTTTGTAACTTAATTCACTTTTATTATTACCTACAATATTCACAGTTTATCAATTTGCATTATGCTAAAGTTTCGCAAGATAAGTTATTTACAAAATAGACAACTAAATTTGATACTTATCCATAACATGATTTTACTATTAGACCACGCGTTAGGAAAGATTCACACTAATCCATAACAGTTATGTAAATTAAATACGTAAAATTTATGAAGTGATAAATATTTTTTATGTATCAGTTAAACAAACATATTACGTAAGTCTTCCATAATAATCAAGGCACAACATAAAGTTTATAGAAGTATCTTACTCGAATGATTTGATTTCAACTAAATCATAATATGAAGGGATGAAATTTTAAATATAATTATTTTCTTATTGTCGCGAAGCGCGTGTATATCCAATTTTACTATAAAGTATTTTTCTCTTATAGTAAGTTGCTTAGGTAATTTTTTGTTTTCCATCTTCTACACCTAATTTCACTATAAACTCTTTTCACTTGTAGTCACTTTTTCTTTTCCCATTATAAAAGATTTATGTATTACAATCCATTACGTAAGGTTTAATAAAATTTAACACCTTATATAATTTGATTTTATTATTAAACCACACGTTACGAAAGATTTAAATAACACCATTCTATAAATATTATGTCATTAAAAATACATTACGTAGAGTTTGCGAAGAGGTAGTTATTCTTTATGTATCAATTAAGCAGAATGTATTACATAAATCTTTCACAATGACAATAAAACTACGTTAAACTTATGAAGGGATCGTAATTTTATATGTATCAATTAAATAAATATAAAACGTAACTTTTCACTAAGTTTGACTGGAATTTTCTAAATTTTAACTAAATTATCGTCTATCTAATCAATTTGTTTCATACAAACTAAAGAACTCATCAAAGAGGCAAAGTTCCCCTCGTAGCTTTTAACCCTAGCTTCCACAGCTCAACAAAAAACCAACAATATAGTGTAATGGACACTGAAAGTGGTGAAGTAAATGATTCATCAGTTGAGCTCTTATAGAGTCTCTATCAGTTGCTGGTAGAGGGGACGAGAAAGGCCTCTTTTCTCTCTCTCTCTCTCTCTCTCTCTCTCTCTCTCTCTCTCTCCAGAACCATACACTACACAGCACAGCATCATAATCATTAGTAATCAATTTTGAGCTGGTTAGCTTCTTCATCACCCATTTATCCATCCATTCATTCTCCATGCCATCACAGAAAAAGCCCTGTTCCAGCAATCAAGCTTCTCCCCACTCACAACATAAACAAGTAGATAGAGAGAGAGAGCAATATATTAATTAGGGCATGTGTGGGTTTCTTTTCTTTTGGGTTTTCTTTATATGATATATATATTTTTGGGTTTTGCTTTGCTTCTTATTTAACCCTACCTCTTCTCTCCCCCACCCTTCCTTCCTCTCAGCCTTCCTTCCTTCCTTTAGTTTGCTTTCCCTTTCCATCTGCGCGTCTTCTTTCTTTCCGTTCTTTTGCGTTCCTCGGGATCTGACCTTCACTTCCTTGCTCTTTTGGGACAAATTGTTAGAGAAAGTTGGAGCCAGTTCCAGTTCCAGTTCCAGTTTGGTACTTTCTGGTTTAGGGTTCAAGTCCCGAGGAAGAACAGCAAGCTAGCTGCTACCTTTTTCTTTTTCATCCACCATCAGTTTGCATCTGTCTTTCTTTCTTCCATTCTTATATATATGCTTTTTCTGTGCTTCATTTCTGGTTGCTCCCCTTGATAGAAAGTTTGCCAAACAGATCAGTAGTGAAGGAATATCATATACCCGTCTTATAATCCTGAAACTCGCTTCTCTTTAGCAGTAATACGACTATTTCATCGGCTTGTCTTATCGTCTGGAACCAGATCTAGAATAAGGAAGGTGGTTTTTCCTGGGTTTTGGGCGATCCAAGCTTCTTGACGTACCAAAATATCATAAAATTAAAGGTTGGCTCTATGTATATCTTCTCATCTTCTTCTGCTTCATGTCTTTCCATGATGATCATCACCAATAAAACTTCTTCTTCTTCTTCTTCACCATGTTTATTCTTCATATGTATATGGAGTTGGGTCACGACTTAGTTTGAATCATGCCTTTGATTTTGCGTTGCTGAATATACTTTCTGGACATTCATTCATGGAATCATGCATGCCGATCCATCTCTTTTTTTTTTCTTTACTTCTCACCTCTCCTTAGTTAGTTTGGAAGTAACAGGCAAGACACTTAATCATAAGCTTATTTCCTGTGTAAGGAATATGGAAGATGATCATAATTGTCTTGGTTTACTTGGAAATGCATTTCTTTCACATTTAACATTTTTTTTTTTTGGCTTATCCTTCATTTCCTTTAGCTAGAACTGATGGAACTCTTCATAGACCATACTCTTCGAATGGTCAAGCTCCGGTTCCATACATGTTATTTTTTGTGTTATACTTTTATGTTCTTTTGTTGGCAATGAAGATGTCTGGTAATTAAGTGTGGCATGATGAATACTTCCAGTTAGTGGGTTTTGTCTTGTGGGTAAGCCTTCTATTTTGTTTCTTTTATGGAAGATACTTAAATAATCCTTCCAATGACATAAGCAGTACTCTACATTAATGTATAATATCTGCTTCACAAAAGTAAAAGCCAGACCTGAAATTTTGGCTAGTTCTTCCCTCTGATATTATTACACTCAAAATTTTGAGTGTAGCACCACAAAACTAATTTTGTTATGCTATTTTTGGAGAATGAATCATTGATGTTCTTACTACTGATTAAGTTTTTGTAATGTTAACTTTAACAACATGGTTAGGAAATTCTATGATAATAGTGTTAAGTAGTTCGTCGTGAAAACACTATGATACAATTATAATGTGAAATATGGGATTAATGTCTAACATCAATTGATTCTTGTGCAATAATACTTTTTTTGAGTTTAATATTGTGAAGCATGCCATTTTCTACCATGAAATTATAGGATGCCTTTATGTTGGCATGTAATTTCAACCACATAAACATGGAGCATGCATGTAATTCATTATTACTGCTTTGCCTGTTTTGTGTTTTAAATTGTGAAACAACATAAACATGCTTCTTCTAATCTTCTCCACATTAGTACTCTTAATCTTAATGATCATCCAATAGTTCTACTATGAGGTACATATTCTTCAATACTTGTGTCTCATGTGCTTCTTCTTTGATCTTTCGCTTTGTGCGCAGGACAATTGAGAACTTTGAAATGAATACCTTCTCGCACGTTCCTCCAGGCTTTAGGTTCCACCCAACAGATGAAGAACTTGTTGATTACTATCTGAGGAAAAAGATTGCTTCCAAGAGGATTGATCTGGATGTCATCAAAGATGTTGATCTTTACAAGATTGAGCCATGGGATCTCCAAGGTACCAAACACAAAAGAATTTACTAATCCTGATGGCATTAGGAAAACACACAATTAGTAACAATATTTATAAATTTTTTGTCTGTATTTTATTTGACACTAGATTTATGCAAGATCGGAACAGAAGAACAAAATGACTGGTACTTCTTTAGCCACAAGGACAAGAAATACCCAACTGGTACTCGGACCAACCGAGCTACGAAAGCTGGGTTTTGGAAAGCCACAGGAAGGGACAAGGCCATATATTGTAGGCATAGCTTGGTTGGAATGAGAAAGACTCTGGTATTCTACAAAGGAAGAGCTCCGAATGGACAGAAATCAGACTGGATCATGCATGAATATCGGCTCGAAACAAATGAGAATGGAGCTACTCAGGCAAGTGAAGTAACTATCTTTGCATACTCTTATTGATATCTTGAAAATCATAAAGAATTTCACTTTGTTCATACAAACCAAACATTAATCTCATTTGATAATGTTACTAAAAAAAATTTCACTCAACGCGAGCATGTAGCCTATACAAGACTTTCTTTCATACCAACGAAATTATATGCTAACATTTGACTTCTTTGACAATTAATGTTAGATGACTCACAATAGTGGAGCGTTATTGTGCTAATGAGTCATTTCTTACCAAATGAGAGTCACTAGCTTCATGCATATATATTTAAAACTGAATAAATAAACCTTTCGTACTATTGATGTGAAATATTATTTAGATTCAACTAACATTTCATTCATCAAGCAGGAAGAAGGATGGGTTGTTTGCAGGGTGTTCAAGAAGCGACTACCTACAGTGAGGCGAATCGGAGAGTATGAATCACCATGTTGGTATGATGATCAAGTTTCCTTCATGCAAGAACTTGATTCTCCACGACAGATTCCTCGTCATCAGCATCAACAATCTTATCCATCTCCATCAGCTTCTTATCTTCATCACCACCCTCAGCATTACTTGCATTGCAAGCAAGAGGTGGATCAGTTGCAATACAACATGTCTCATAACCATCAACAACACCACCATACTCTCGAGTCATTCCTCCAACTCCCCCAACTTGAAAGCCCCAAACTCCCTAGCAATGCAAATTGCAATAATTCATCCTCATCCATGATTCCGAGTTACTCCTATGAAAAGAACAATGGGACTCTACTCCAACGAGAGGAAATGCACATCCAACAAATCCATCAACAACATCACACTTTGAGTTCTGTCTACAACAACAATGCAACAAATGATCTTCAAGAGCATGTGGTTGCAACCGATTGGCGAGTTCTTGACAAGTTTGTTGCATCTCAATTGAGCCATGAAGTTGGTATTGCTTCCAAGGAACCCAACAATGTTGACTACTCAAATACCCCTACATCTTCATCATCCTTTCATGTGGATGATGAGCAACCATTGAAGGTAGCTACCAATGGTGACTCCAAGAGTTCAGAAATGCTGCAGGAGTATGCGTCGACATTGACCTCTAGCAGCCAGATTGATCTTTGGAAGTGATCATGTACTATGGAACCTCATATACAACATATACATTACCAGAAGCCTGGACCAGATGGATGCATACTAATATAACTACAAACTAATAGGGGGTAAGCATAAGAAACATATATCTATGCAAGGAAGAGAAATCGACCTCTTGATCTCATGCCAAGTTCTTCTTGTAGATAAGTGGGAGGGAAGCAAAAGCAAGCTATATATACTAAGCATGCATAAATGGCTACTTATATGATTTGGACATATTGAGTGTGCCATTCGGTAATGATGCCTTAATGTTATCAACTAAAGTGTATACTTATGTAGCTACCTGGTATGTAAGGACTAAGAAGGGGGCCAAACCTACTAATTATCTTATAAGGAGGTAGTATATTTTAAGATCAATCCGAGTTTTTTCTACTATAAAGAAGAGACATACTGTATATATGTACTCACTAATATTGTTGTACCGATGTTGTTTGATGTAACACCATGCACCTTGTGCCTAATTTTTTCCCCCTTCAAATTGTAATTGAAGGCCCATATATATAATTACTGGCAGCCACTGATTTTTATCACTAATCTTTTTCTTGTATGTTACGTATTCCATCTCATTATCACTACTAAAGCATAAAGAAGGTGACTGATTGTCTATGACACAGGGACGTACGTACGTAGTAATATCATCCACATTTCAAACTGAGTGCACAAACACAACAAACAAGGCGAAGAAGAAGTAAAAACTTCCCTTTCCTAATTGTCTTTGTTTCTCTTCCAAGGTAATATATGTACTTGCTTCACCGATACTCTAATCAAAGTATCAAAATAAAGCCACTACAAGTAGTGGGTGGGGACAATTCCTGATAGTTTACTCCGAAACAATTTATCTTAGGAGTCACGTATAGAAAGACTGATAACTGGAGTTAGTATAAAATGTTCAATTATACCATTTATGTAATGTAATGCCTCTAGAATAAACAACCTAAGTAGCCAACCTCTTTTGAGCCTAGTAAAATGCAGGTCATATAGCAGACATATAACTCCTTATAAGTGCTCATTCAGATGAAGTAAAACAAATTAGTAGTTTTCAATTCAGTCAAAATCGCGTTTTAAAATTTAAAAACTTACGCTTTCACATTTTTAGGTCACCAAAACGCTTCTATGTAGAATCGTGATTTTCCCTTACAAATGTAGTCAAAATCTACGCTTTAAAACTTAAAAGCTTACGATTTTACGCTTCTAGGTCACCCAACCGCTTATAGGTAGAATCGCGCTTTTGCCTGCATTGGTAGTTTTAGTGTGAAGGGAAAAACTTTCTCGATTAATACGAACTGATCTGCCATTGGATTGATCTATCCTATATGATGGTTCAGCTTAAGAAGAAGAAGTAGGTTTCATATATCAGCTAGAGGCAGACAGACAGTGATAAACTATTTCCGTCAATCAAAACTTAATATTATGAAGTGATCAGCAGCAGACCTATCAATTCCTCATCCAAAATTCTATTCCGGTTCCCTTAATCATTTTTCATACATGCAAAAAAAGAAACAGTAACATTAGTGCTACGCGAAGAAGATTCTTAACTAACTTAATTCTCTGCTTACCCATTCTGATGGACATGAGGTGGAGACAGGCTAACATGCAGGTGGTATAGAAGAAGAAGAAGAAGAAGAAGAAGAAGAAGAAGAAGAAGAAGAAGAAGAAGAAGAAGAGATATGTCTTTTAGGAGGATATGGCAATGCCCATGTTGATGATCGAGGCAAAGGAGAAGCAGGAATAATGGTGGGTATGTCGCAAGAATGAGAGAGACGGCCACTTGGTTTATAAGTTGGGGTGTCGAATGTGAAGGCCATAAATAAGAAGCATGCATAGAAGAGTATGATCAAAGTCCCTAGCTAGCTTTTAAGCAATGTGAAAATGTTAGGCGCGCGTTAATGTCTTCTTATTTGGAACAAAAAAGACAGACAGACATAATGAGTAGGGCGTGCTGCTGTTTACCATCATCATGGCATTGGCATTGGCAGGGGAGTGAATGGAGCGAGTTATACCTACATACATGTTGTAGTTGTAGCAATTGCTTTCCTTTGGATTGAGACCCAAGAAATAATCGATGGACAAGTTAGCTAGCTCGGTAGGGAGAGAGGGGATACATCTCTACTCATCAAGAGAATGGAATTGTACCTAACAAATCTCTTAAGTACTAGGGATATCATATTATTAAGTTCACACAAATAATTTTTTTTTTTATTTATCGTCAAGAAACGGGTTCAGACTCTTAATTAATTATGAAAGGCCTCTAACTTATTTTCCTGTAAATTTTGATGTACTATATCTATTTCGTTTTAAATTGAAATTAATCCCTAAAAGATCACGATAAACTCGTTCTTTTTGCAAAATTCGAGTTAAAAACCAAGGTGGTAACGAGTCTTATGATTGTATGAAATTTATTTCTTCAAATATATAGAAAATGTATCTCATTTTGCAGATCACAACGAATTAGTTCGGTCTGTCAAAAATTTTTAACAAATTACAACGGAGAAAATAATAGCCAATTAAGAAAACTATGGAAAATAGAAAAAACTAGTAATTGTCACCTTTTAGATCTCAATTTTTCTGATCGCACTCAAAATTAATGATCCAGATTATTAACTATACAAAAATTGTCAGAACAGAAGCGTGCAATCGATAATCCAAACCAACACGAACGAACACAAATTTAACATGGTTCACTAACACAATGTGTGCTAGCTAATCCACGGGCAGGGGAGAACAAATTTCACTGATTTTGAGGAGAGTACAGGTTACAAACCAAATTCCAAACGTACAAACCAAACAAACTAACCTGACTGACCTTACTACAGACTAGGATGGTGAAGAGTATTTATAGAACTCTTCTCTTAATCCCAAACAGAAAACTAAACAACTTTTCTCAAACATACAAGGAAAAAGGTCAAACAAAGCCCAAAGCCCAAACACAAACCCAAACAAAATAGGCCCAAAACACAAAACAAACCCAAATCAAATTCAAGTCATATTCTAACAATCTCTACCTTGACTTGAATTCTCTGTCAAATACCAAATGTACCAGATGCAACCAAAGTTGCCAGATGTACCCAACTCCTCTAAATCAGCTGTACCAGAATCTCCCCTGCCTCCAAATGCCCCTAAGGGCGATCAACAAATCAAAACATGCTGCAAGTCCAACCCTTGTTGGAACTTGCCATGCAGAACCTGCAGTTTGGTGTTATTTCCATCCATAACGCCAACATCAAATTTATTGCTAACTCCAAACCTGCAACTCCAAATTGACTTCTCGATCTTCAAATTCAGAACAGACATATTGATGATCGAAAAACCCTAACCCCCGACCAAACTATTCCAACACAATTGGTTGGCTAAACAGCAGAATTTCCAACCCACTTTTCAAATTCCAAGTAGCTCGGAAACAAAACTACCACAAGAGAACCAAGATTTGCTCACTACAAATCGCGAACACCAAGGAAGCTCCGTCAAACCTGGACAACTAGAGGAAACTAACTCCTCTCACGTGTGGTGCATCAAAATTGTAACTCCAAAAATAAGTTAAATAATGAGTGCACAATTAACTTACTCCAAAATACCAAAGCTCAAACCACAAAAGACAAATTCCTCCAACTGCTTCTCGGCAATTAATCTTGCACCAAATATTCATATAGCTCTCCAAAATTAAAGAGACATAAGTCGAAGCCGGAGAGAAGAATGACCAATCCGCCAAGCAGTAGCGCGATCCCAACAGCGACGACACTGTTTCAAACAATCCAAATCAACCGCGAAGCGCGATCCTAAACATCCGCCAAGACAGTTTCAAATAACCCAAAGATCAACCGCGGCTCTGATACCACTTGTCAGAACAGAAGCGTGCAATCGATAATCCAAACCAACACGAACGAACACAAATTTAACGTGGTTCACTAACACAATGTGTGCTAGCTAATCCACGGGCAGGGGAGAACAAATTTCACTGATTTTGAGGAGAGTACATGTTACAAACCAAATTCCAAACGGACAAACCAAACAAACTAACCTGACTGACCTTACTACAAACTAGGATTGTGAAGAGTATTTATAGAACTCTTCTCCTAATCACAAACAGAAAACAAAACACATTTTCCCAAACATACCAGGAAAAAGGTCAAACAAAGCCCAAACACAAACCCAAACAAAATAGACCCAAAATACAAAACAAACTCAAATCAAATTCAAGTCATATTCTAACAAAAATGTATAACCAAGAATTATACACCTTTCATATTTCCTGTATTATTTTTCTCAAATGACACTGATCATACTTTAAACTGAATCCGAACTTTGGATATATATTCAACAAGCAAAAAACCCAGCCATGAGATGAAGCATGATGATTAAATTTCTTGAGATTGCTTTAGGAGCGGTTCACATCCCGGGAACACAACAGACCCATCATCATCCTCTACCCTTCAATTTCACAGGCTCCTCTGACTGGCATGCTTTTCCCTCATCGGATAATTAATAAACAACATTATCATTGCGATGGAAAAGTAGTCTCAAGTTCAACTCAATTATATATTCAATCCTCTTCCTGGGATGGATGCCTGAGTTGAGAGACATGTCTGTCTGTCTTTTCCAAAAAGGCCTGCGCACGGTATATATTATCCTTGTACTGTCGTTGGACTAGGTAGACAAATACGTATGATGTTGTTCTCGGAAACATATCAGTACATACTGGTTCACTTTTATTATATACCTACACGTAGCGTAGCTACTATAGGATGAGAGAAACGATACAGAGTGATTTTCTGTGGTTCAATCAAGCTCTGCATGAGAGGGATTCTTTGTATTTGTATTGTTCACAGCTTAACCCTCGATCGGATTACGCATGGGCTGCACCTACTAAACTTCCAATGCATAGGGTCAAGATATATCCGTGGGCTAAATTTAGTTAGGCCATTGGAAGATCCATTGGGTAATTAGATCTAATTATCATGATTCACATGGGTACTGAATCGAAATTTAACGGTTTCATATGTACTTTAAATTGTTTTGGGTTTGTGTAAGATCTGAATTAGGTTCTATCTGGACAATTGATTCGAGTTAGACCCAAATGAGTTTAGATGATTGTGCACAAAAAAAAAAAATAATATCAACAATTTTATTAACTAACTTCAACTCAACTATACACCTTTAATGTATGTGTTTCCACAATTTTATTCTTTTCATTAAAAAAATAAGATGAAATTGATTATAAACGAGCACCATATCCATTTTCTTTTTGAATTCCAATACAATGAGTCCAATTTAGACCCAAACTAAAAAATTGGATACACCTACGCCCAAATAGTAAAATTACAATTTGATTTGACCCATAATATGTTGGATTGGACAATACTCAATTATTGAGTTCTTTTTCTCATCCCTAACTATACTACCAACACAATACATGGGCTTACTATCCCTAACTAATTTTACACAGTATATCACAATTGTAGATGGTGGATGCCGTAGTGGGGAAAAAACATACTAACTATTAGAAACCGAACAGTAAAATTAGGGTTACCGATCTGGAGCTGAGTCGCGGACTAGGTCGCTTTCTTTAAGACGTTCGCGACACTGCTCTCATTGTGCACGACAAACTATCAATCGGTCGTCTCCAGGATAAAATAGCTCATCTAGGTGCTCGGCGGTTTTGTGCGAAAACCGGAGCTCTCTAAATACACTCTCTCTCGTGTTTCTGCTCTCTTATTGTGTGTTTAGAGGGTCTGGGGATTGCTCTATTTATAGGAGCAAAACCCTAGAATATTTCTCTTTCGTGGGTATAAGTCGCACTTAATTAGGAAGATAATTACTCCCATTAAAATACGTTCTATTAAGATAATTAACTCTAATTATCTTTCTAATATTCCATTTATTAATTATCCTTCTTATTTTTCGTATATGGAAATATACTGGATAATTAATTAGGAATTTCATTTATAGATTTTCAAAGCTATTCATCCCAACAATCCCCCACTTGAATAGTTTTAGAACTATCTCTGAGCATCAACAGTTCCATAAGATCGGGCATAAGCTAAGGTATCGCAAAGATTTGAACCTTAGCGTAGTGGTTACACTTTTGATTTCATAGGGGTGACTCGTAGTCTTGAACCCTATCTTAGACAGTGTAGCAAGCCGGATCTTTTCAATGAGTGGTATTCTCTCATAGCCCGTGCTTTTATGGCCCTGCACGTTATCCCGGTTTAGTGAACACTCTAGCAACTTTGTGCCTCCAAAGTTCCATAGAGAGCGGCTTCACTCCCATATTCACATATCTGAGTCTATCAGAAGTACCCCCAAAGTAAAGTACTTCACTCCACACAGGGACGGAGCCAGGATTCTCGATAGGGGGGCCAAAATTTTTTTCCATATACACTTACCAATTTGATAAACAAAATTACTCATGATTTTGAATTTTAAAATAATTCTAGCCGTAAAATATAGTAGTCATGACTATTTACAAACGGAAACATGATAAATTTTCAGAGAAATTAACTAAAACGGAAAGGATAATTAACCCTGAAAAAGTGATTTCAAAGAAACTAATTATAACTTATAAGTTGAAGTGATTTCAAAGAAACTCATTATAAGTTGAAAAATAAATATGATAAATTTCCAAAGAAATTAACTAGCAAAGAGAAGGTAATCAACGCAAAATAAGTGATTTCGGAGAAGCTAATTATACGTTAAAACGACGAGGAAAGTGTAATAATTAACATAAAATAAGTTAAAACGATGAGGAAAGTG